AGGGGGCGGTGTACAGAAAAAAAAAAAAAAAAAAAAAAAAAAAAGAAGAATGATCTGAGAGTATATAACAAGGGGAACTAAATGAGGGCCTGGGGGAGACCCCAAGGAACTGACCAGACGATGAGCAAGACTTAACCAGGAAAGGAGGCGGGGTTGGAGAGAGCTGTCCAGGTGGTGAGAATAGACTGTGCAAAGGCCCTGATGCAGGAAAGAGCCTGAAATGTTAGAAGATGAAAAAGAAAGCTACAGTGGCTATAGCACAGCCATCTAGGAGGAAAGTGACAAGAGATGCAGCTGAGAGAGGTCAGCAAGGACCAGGTCCTGCAGGGCCTTGTTGGCCATGCCAAGAACCATTAACCTGGGCTTCCCTGGTGGCACGGTGGTTGAGAATCCACCTGCCAGTGCAGGGGACACGGGTTCGAGCCCTGGACCGGGAAGATCCCACATGCCGCGGAGCAACTAAGCCCGTGCGCCACAGCTACTGAGCCTGTGCTCTAGAGCCTGCGAGCCACAACTACTGAGCCCGCGTGCCACAACTACTGAAGCCCACATGCCTAGAGCCCGTGATCTGCAAGAAGAGAAGCCACCAGAATGAGAAGCCCGCGCACCGCAACGAAGAGTAGCCCCCACTCGCCGCTACCAGAGAAAAGCCCGCGTGCAGCAACAAAGACCCGATGCAGCCAGAAACAATAAATAAATAAAATAAAATAAATAAATTTATTTTTTAAAAAAAGAACCATTAACCTTATCTGCAGAGCAAGGAGAACTGAAGGGATGTTGGGGAGGTGAGTGGAGCATAAGATTCCAGTCTTTTAGAGAGATCGTCCTGTGTGGTGAGGAGAATGGCCTGGAGGAGGCCACGGGGCTGTGGGTCCTTCTCTGGCACTGGTGTATCTTGGAAGGAGAGCCAAGGCTGCTCCAGCGATGTCTGTTGAGCTGCTCTTTTCTCTTCTGCTCGTGGGACCCAGGCTCCCCACACCCACTGGAGCTCTGAGAAACTTCACACACTCCTGGTTTTCCTCCCACCCCTTGAGCTGCTCCATCTCAGTCTCCTTACCAGGCTGCCCCCCTCCACCTGACTTCCATAGGCTGGCACTCCTCAGAGCTCAGTCCTGGGCCCACCCCTACTCTCACCCCAGACACTGTGCCCAGGGCTTCATCACATCTACGGCCCACCTGCCGATGACTCCCAAGTCCTTCCTTAAACTGACCTACCTGGGGAAGAACTACGGGCTTTACTAGGTGCTGAAGTCCTTGAAGGCATCACTGGATGCCCAGGGGCTGTGCATAGTAGGCCCTTAGTAGATGTTTACCAGATAAAGGAGAGAATGAATGCGGGAATGGGAAGACCTGGACTTGGCTGCATCACTCACCAGCTCAGCAACGCTGGCCAAATGAACTTTCCAGCTTGGGCTCATCTCTTCACTTGTAAAGTCAAAACAACAATCCCTGCCTGCCTCTCGCCCAGGGCAATTGTAAGGAACAGGAAAGTGGCTTCTTCTCATCTTTCTTATAAAATCTCTGTGTCCTTCATACCTCACCTCATACTTCATAGAGAAAACAAGGACAGAAGGTCCCGATGTCTACCTGTCTCAACAGTCTGTGCCTTCTTGCCTCCCGAGCTCTGAATTCGTCCCCTGCCGGCTCCTCAGGAGACCAGCTCCTCCAGCTTCACTGGCTCCCGGCTCCTGGAGTCTGCTCCCCTGCCCCCAGCATCCCATACAGTGTGCAGGGTGGGTGGCTTGCTAAAATGCAGATTCTGAGGCCCACCCACAGACCCAGTGAATCAGACTTTCTAGGGGTGCATACTGGGAATCTGCATTAAAAATTTTTTTTAATTAAAAAATGTTTTTTGAGCTTTTATTTAAAAGGAAAGTGGTTTTTTTTTTGAATCTGCATTTTTTAAAATGAAGACTTCCTTTTTTTTTTTTTTTTTTTTTTTTTTTTTCTTGCGTTAGGCGGGCCTCTCACTGATGCGGCCTCTCCCATTTGCGGAGCACAGGCTCCGGACGCGCAGGCCCAGCGGCCACGGCCCACGGGCCCAGCCGCTCCGCAGCATGTGGGATCCTCCCGAAACGGGGCACGAACCCGCGTTTCCTGCATTGGCAGGCGGACCCCCAAGCACCGCGCCACCAGGGAAGCCCAAGACTTCCTTTTTATTTACTTTTATTTTTTGGCCACGCAGCATGCGGGATCTTAGTTCCCCAACCAGGGATCAAACCCGTACCCCCCTGAAGTGGAAACGTGGAGTCTTAACCACTGGACCACCAGGGAAGTTCTGGGAATCTGCATTTTAAACAAGCTCCCAGGTGATTCTTATGAACCTCAACATTGGAAAACCACAGATCTAACACCTCTCTTATTTAAAAGTCTTCCCTCCCTCCATCCCACACTCACTCCAGCTACCTCTCTTTTTCTGCGGTTCTTTGGAGGCAGGTTCTTTCACAGTGTTGCCTCTAGTTCCTCACTTTCTGTTCACTGATCTGGCACCTGCCTCCAACAGCGACCTCCACGTTGCCAAATCCACTGGACACTTTTCAGCCCTTCTCTTGCTTGGCTTCTCAAACCCCGTTTGATAAAGTTGACTACTCTTCCCATCTGGAAGTGCTCTTTTTCATGTGCTCAGGGATCCCACACTCTCCTGGGTTCCCTCCCACCCCTTAGACCACTCCTCAGCCTCCTTGCCAGGCCCCCTCCAGTGCCTGACTTCTAAACAAATGCTGGGTTTCCTGGGCCTGTTTCTCTGCTCACAGCGGGCAGTGTTATACAGTCCCCTGGCTTCACCGATGACCTGCAGACCAACACCACTTACGTCTGTCTATCACCAGCCAAACTCAAGACCAGTATGTCCAGCGGCCTGCTCGACATCTCCACTCAGCCATTTCACGAACATCTCAAGTGTAATGTACCCCAACCTGAACTCCTGCCCTTCCCTCAAACCTGCTCTGCCCCATTTCAGCATCACGGGAACTCCACGTGCTGAAGACAAAACCATCACGACTCTTCCCTTCCCTCAACACTCACGGCCGCTGCATTACCAAGGGCTCGGGTTCTTTCTCTAAACTCAGGAATGCGTCCCCTTGCCTCACCTTCACTGCACAACCCTAGTCCAAGCCGCCTGGACTTGCACCTCCTGCTGGCTGCCCAGCCTCCATCCCTGCTCCCTACATACCATTGCCCGCACAGCAGCCAGAATGGTCTCTCAGCGCAAGTTAGACTAGGTCCCTCGCTCTTTAGACAAAATCCCCCATCTTTAAGACCCCAGATGATCTGGCTCCCACCTCTCTGGCTCTCTCCCCTTCACTCCCCTGCCTTGGCCGTGCTGACCACACCTGGGGGCCGAATGTGCACTTTCCTGCTCACCTAGGGCTTTGTGCCCAGCGTTCTCTGTCCTGGAATGCTCTGACTAGCCTTATTTCTTCCTCTTACTCATCTTTGGACCTCAAGTGAATATTTTCTTACTCAGAAGCCTTCCCTGTCTCTTCTTTGCCACTGCCTTTTAAACCCAAGTCCTGTTTCTCTCTCCCAGAGCCCCATGTACTCCTCCTTCCTGGCTCACTCCCTCACCTGCCTGCTTCAGGTCTTCCCTCTCTGGTTTTCTTTCCGCAATGCAGTTATTGACACTTTACTTACGTATTTCGTTAACTGTCTCACCACCGCTACATGTAACCTCCATGAATGTGGGGAATTTTGTTTGATCACAGCTGTATCCCAGAGTCTAGAACAATACCTGGTATGCAATAAGCACTCATTAACTATTTGTTGAATGAATGAATAGTCCTCATGGGTTAAAATTCTATTTACTTGTGTCATTGTTTGTTTAACGGCTGCCAACCTCCCTTAACTATAAGCTCCAAGAGGGTGGGAACCATGTAGCTCTTGCTCTTGAAGACATCATCAAGGCTTAGCACTGTGCCTCCTGCACAGTGAGTCCTCGGCAAAGGTTGATGGGATGAATATGTGAGTGAGAGAGCAAGTGAGCAATGACATGGCTGAGGCCAGCGAGTGCCTCTGTGCCTATGCGTAGGGATGGTTCCACCGCAGCTGCCCTCTGCCCTCCCCCACTCCGTGCTCCCGGCTCCAGGGCCCTCCTACCTTGTCCTGCCCTTCATAGTCCCTGGTGAAGCAGCTCCTCAGCCGCAGAGAGAGTTCCTGGAGCTGGACAATGACAATGGCGTTGGGGGTGTTGTCTTTGAAGCGCATGGTGTCCTCCATTATATCTTGCACCAGGAGAAATGCCTTCTTAAGGTAGCACACGGGGTCATTCTGAAAAGTAGAACCTGGAGTTGACGACCTGGCTGATGCCACTTGGGAGCCCAAGCTCTGTGCTGGATGCCCTCACCCCAGGCAGATGGAGGGCTGCGGCCTGCCCTACCCTTACTCCTGAGGAGAGGGGCCACCCCCTCCAGTAAGAAGGAGAATGCTGCCCTCAGCTGGCTTTCATTCTCCCTTGTTGCGATCTGGCGCTGCTGGGGATTGTGGTAGAGGGAAGGAAATGTGGATTCTGACCAGAGAGATCCTCAGATTTCTGAAAGATGAGGCTTTAATCAGGATGAAGGTGTATAGGTAGGGTGGGTTCTGGGGAACTTCTGTTTTTCTGTCTCTGACCCTCTTTTGGCTTGCTTTCACACAAAGCCCTTTACCAGGTGGCTCCTTCTAATCCTCCAGGCCACAGGGATACTGGAGACTACCTCGGGGTCCAAAGAATGACCTCAGTGTTTTGTCTCCCTAAAGAGATGGTGGGTGCCTCAATGAAGACTCGGCTTTTAGCTCTGTATTCCTAGCACCTGGTGCAATAGGTTCCTAGTAGTAAACGCTTGGTAAGGTGTGAGTGAGTGAGTGAGTGAGTGGAACACCGAGGTTACTCCTTGGACCATGAGGTGGTCTCCAGTTCTAATAGAAATGTGTATGGGTCAGGTGTGCAGAAGCTCAGAGATGGGAGCAAATTCTGGGCATGATGGCGATTTTCTAGGAGGCACAAAGTAGAACAGACGTGGAATAAAGGCTGGGGTGGGAGCAGCTGGAAAGGCATCACAGGCATCAGAAAGAGCTTGTGCAAAGGCCTGGAAGCAGGAAGAAACAGGGAATGGGAGTAGTGGGTTGGGCCGTGTGATAGAGACTGGAGCTTGTAAACCCCAGGCTAAACAACCTAGGCTTTCTCCTGGAGTGAGGGGTCTCCAGGTTTGGGGGAGGCGGTGCAGATAGCAGGCTGTGGTTCAGAGAGCTCCCCCACTAGTGGTGGGGTGAGGGGTGCACTGGATGCAGGAAGGCCATTTAGGAGGCTTTTGAAATCGTCCAAGCAACTGATGGGCTGAGGCCCCAGAAGCCGGAGATGCTGGGAGATAGAACCAGCAGCACACAGTTGGGTGTGGGATAGGAGGAAGAGGGAAAGGGCTGGACTGATTCCCTGGATGCTGGTCTGTCTGCTGGATGGAGGTGACATCCTTAAGCAAAACATTTGACCCAGAAGAAGTGCCGGTTTGCCTTAGGCCTTAGAGCCAGCCTGCCCGCGTTCACACGACTTACTACCTATGTTCTCTCCCTTAACCCCTCATGAACAAGAAGAGTGAACCACGTAGTCAGGATCAAAAGTGCCTGGCACACAGTAAGACCCTGACATGTGCCAGGCCAGCAGAAGGGAGCAGCAGGGGACTTGAGCCCTGGGCCCTGCCCAGCTCAGCCCTGGACCCTGGCACCCCAGACCTGAGTACCAGGGGTCCTTACACCATACCCTGCCCAGCTCTAGGACTTCCCCTGCATTCATGCTCCCACATACACCCACCCTGGGAAGTTCATACATGCTGGCACACGGGCCTTGTAAATAGCCATAACTCACCAACTGCTCCTGGTCTACAAACTCGAAGGCAATTTGGCACGAGGTCTCCATCTGACTGTCAATCTGTAAAAGAGAGCAGGCCAGTGGTGGCAGGGTGTCTGCACTCGACTGAGCTTGCCTAAGAATGGAGACTAGAGTTTCTGGATGGATCAGGGTTTGATCCTCATCCATCTCCCCCCAACCACACCTGGAAAGACAGAGCCAAGGTGAGGGGAAGACCTGTACCCTCCACATGCCCAGAAGAACAAGGAGTCTCTGTCTTGTACCCCCCACTCTGAAATCTCACAGATGCCAGCTTGTTATAAGGAAGAACTGTCTAATATAGGACATAATCTCCTGTGGAAGGTAGTGAGCTCCCTGTCCTGGAAGGCATTCAAGCAGAGGCTAGACAAGCTCTGGGGATTCAGGATCTGTAGGGACTGAGGCTAGATGCCCTTAAAGCCCTCACTGGCCCTCAGAGCAGTGGTTCTGTGATTCTAAGCCTCAGAGAATGTGGTGGCTCTTGGTCTACCTTGGATTGCTGCAGCAGCTACATACAGGAGGAAGAGCATAGGGGGTAACAGAGGCAGGAGGCCCAGCCTATGGGCTCCAAGCTCAGGGCCCTGGAGCTGGCCTTAGCCTGTGATGCTCCCCACTGCCTGGCTGGCTAGAGGGTTGGTAAATTCTCTTCCGAGCAGGACAGCAGCCATGACAGCAACCTGATTCTGCCTGGCTGAACCATGTTTGAAATTGTTGACGACTCCGCTGGCACGATTAGAGTGAGGCACGGGCTCCTTCATGGCCCGGGTGATCAGACCATTACAGCCCCAGGGCTCGGGCAAGAGCCAGGGAAGTGAGGGGGGAGGGCTGGGAGTTAGGCGGGAGCCTCCCTTCCAAATCTGGCTGAGGCCCTGGTGCCAGGCTGGCGGCACATCTGGGAGTCCAGGAGCTAGAGGCAACATCTGGACACAGCAGGCAGACTGGGCTGGCTCCTCAGAGGAAGCATCCCACCGAGGGAGAGCTGGCTTTACAAACTTTTTCAGAGTCCACGTTTGACATTCCAGGCAATCATTAACCTAGGCAACCAGCTAGAAGTCCACCCTGTCCACCGCCTGCAGGGGAGTGGGAGAGAGCTTCAGGATTGAGGTGGGGCTCAGAGGCATTGACCTTTAGAAGGTCAGTGAGAAGAACATCCGTGGAGCTAGTGGGAGCCACGAGCCACATCCTGCATGGCCGTATTTCTCTGCCTACAACCACTCTCTTTGGCCCTGCTCCCTGACTCCTGCCTCCGTTTCCCCAGTGGGGAGAAGGTAAGGTAGGCAGGGCCACACACTCACCAGCTGCTGCAGGAACTGCAGGTGTCCGTTCCCAATCATGTGGCTACAGTTCTCCGACACCTCCTCGGTAGTACTCTTCACGAGGAGACAGGCCAGCAGCAGCAGGCGGCCCAGCCATGTCTGTGACAGAGAGGGCATAATTTCTCCCCAGCTCTCAGACTCCCCAGGAACCCCCACGCCCTGTTGAGGGTGGAAAAGCAAGGACCTCAGACCCACAATGCTACAGACCTGCCCCTCATTCCAGAATGCAGCATTCCCCGAACCCACCTTACTCAGGATTTCCTAGCAGCCACGCACAACCTTGCTCTCCCTCACTAACAATCCAAATGTCTTCTCCTCCAAGAAGCCTTCCCAGATTAACCCAGGCCAAGCCTCACTACACACTGAACTTCTAATGAGGACATGGGAGGTATGCCTACCAGTCTAAATGTCAATTGCACAGGAAACTCCTTGAATGCAGGACTTGCATCTACCCATTATTCTGTCTCTGCAATATCACACACTGAGCCAGGCATCTTGTGAGCTGCCCACTCCTCTCAAGTTCATGTTCTTGCACTGGCTGGCTTCCAGACTTGGAGCCAGAGGTATTTGCCTGGGCCCAGCCCTTCCTCCTACCTGATTCCACACAGGTCTGGCTCTGCTACTGGAAAAACCAGGGGCCCAAATTCAGTTTCACTGGGAACCTATCCCGCACCACAGACCTTTGGAGCCCTGGGTATGTGTGTCAAAAAGAGCCCAACCGATTAATCAGAGGCAGCAGTGCCAGCTCTAGACCATCCCTGGCTGGCACCTGCCTATCGGAGCCCCCATCAGGCTCCGCATCCAGCCAGTCAGCTCTTAGCATTGCAAGAATGTTTTCTGAGATCTCTCCCCTCTTTCAGCACCCACCTGGCCCGGTAGCTGCTTACCCCCAGAGCGATGGGACAGGCTCCTGACACCCTGTTGTTCCCCTTCCCTCCTTCTTGCCAAGGTCCCCTTAGCCCTCTCCCTGGCTCTAGGTCTCCCCTTCTCCAGCCAGAGGCAGAGAAAGACCCTTGGGCTTTTTTTCCGAAGCTGGATATTGCCTCCTGGCAGATTCAGGGAAATGCTGTCAGGATGGGGTGCGGGCTGGCACCTTCCTGGGTTCTGGGCTCTGGGCTCTGCCTCAGTAATTCAGATGACGAGACAAATACTGCAAACAAGTAGCACATTGGAGGCTATGAAACAGCCCACAACAACATGCTGATTTACATATAACTAAAAGCCCAAATGTTTGTCAGCTCTTACTAGGGAGGAGAGGCCCTGGCTGGGCTCCAGGGAGGCTGCAGGGAGGAGGGGCCCCAGTGAGGCCTTGAAAGATGGGGAGAAGTTGATGGCAGAGAGAGGGAAGGAGAGGCCTGGAGGAAAGAGGCACAAGATGGCCCAGTGCCATTCAGCACAGGGATCTGGTGAGGGTCCTGGTCTGACCTGGGGGCGGGAGACTGTGGAAGAGGGAGAACAGTCATGGAGGAGACACTGGGCTCTGCTGCATGGTTGAGGAGGCAGCTCTGGGTGGGAACAGCTGCCCAGGCCCTCAGGAACCTGCAATTCAGGACCCATGGGAGGAAACTGGGCCATGCAGAAGGTACGTCTCTGCCCCAGGCTGGCTGCCCCTGAGGCTCGGAGCCCCAGGTGTCAGTGGTATGGAGGAAAGGGCCTATGGGGAAGGGGATGTTCAGGAAGACAGCCTTGCCGCACGCATTTCAAGATATCGATGTTTGAGGAGAGCAATGCTTAACCCCAAGGGCTGCCTGGCTTTTGGAGTTATTTCAGGCACCATGTGGGAGGCTGACTTCCAAGGTAGCCAAAGGGGCCACCCTGCACCTGGGACCCTGATTTGGCCTCAGAGGAGGATCTGGACGGGCACCAAAGGGTTAACACTCTAGCTTGCATCCGGCTGGGCCGGCTCTCCTACCCCCCTTCTTTCTTCCTCCCACCCACCAGCCTTGGCCTCTGGGGTAACCACAGGAATCTTTGCTTCAGTCTCAGAGAGATGCGGGACATCTCAGCCCAGCTATCCATCCTCACCTGCCTCCTATCTTGTTCTATCTTCCCCATCAACAAGGTCCCTGGAGAGATCTTAGCATGAGTGGACCCTTGGGCTGCCCCTGTCTAGAACCAGCCTCTTTCTTTCCACCTTTCCTTTCCTCCTCTTTCCTCGTAGTCTCACTTCCAGCCCCTGTTTGTCTTGGTGCCTATCACCTCACCCTTCCTGATTTCCCATCCTAACCCCATCTCTTCTCTCTCAGTTGGGCTCTTCCTCCCCCGTGGAAGGGCTCTTCCCTCTTATCCTACCTGCAAACCCCTCCCTTATCCTCCGAATATTTTTCTGCTTCTCTTCCCCCTGGGTTTCTCCTCTAGGATTCCTCAGAAGCAAACCCATTGGAAGACCACTTACTGTCCATTAACGGTGCCACTCTGCGCCATCTAGGAGCTGCCCCACGGTTGGGGCAGGACAGTCCCCATGCAGTCCTGAGCAGCCCGCTGTCCCTGTCCACAGTTCTGCAACCCCAAACCTTCCTTCCACCTCCTCTACCACCACTAAGCCCAGGATCTCCCCAACGGACTGAACCAGGTTTGGCAGGAAGATTCAGAGCTGGCCCCATGCAACTCTGGGACGCCGCCCCCCACAAAACATACTTGATCCAGCCACCCAAGTGCCCAACGGCTTCTGTCTGTGAACCGGAACAAGTAGTGGCTTGCCCTGCACCTTCCTTTTGCCTTGGCCTTCTATAAGCTGGATGGCCCCTGAACTTTCCCCATCCAGAAGCGCCCACTTCCCAGCAGGACCTAGAAGCATGTGTATGGCCCATGAGGAATGCCCGCTGGGAAGGCACCACCCTCAGCGCACAGCCACTCCGCCTGTCCCTTGGCCGTGGCTGATCAGAAGGGAGAGAGTCAGGGACGCAGCCTCTGCCCCGTGGCTGCGAGCCCCTTTCTCTTGCCAGCGGGTGGCCCAGTGTGCCTCTCCATGCAATGGGGTGAGCAGCCGTCCCTTTCCCGAGGGAGTGCCGCAGCCCCAAGAGTAGCTGCAGGGCCGTCTCGGGTCCCAGCCAGAGCGCGAGGGGCCTCGCGCAGTCCGTGCGCAACGATGGGATGGAAACCGGAGCCCGCTGCCGGGGCGGAAGAGCCCCGGCAGTCGGCGCGCCCGGGCAGCGGGCTCCCAGGGGCCGCGCCGCGCCGCCGAGCTCCCACCCCAGCCCAGCCAGGGCCCCGCGCCACGGCCGTTGCTTACCGTGGGAGGGCAGCGCCCGGCGGCGCCCCGCGCGGTCATACGGGCAGCTGGGTCCCGGCCGGGCGCGTCGGCCGCCCTCGCTCTCTCGTTCGCTCGCTCGCTGGCCGCTGCAGAGTCCACGCCCCGGCCGAGGGCCGCGCTGCTGTCCCAGGAGTGAGGAGGGACTCGCGGCGGCGCAGAGAGCCCCCTGGAAAACTTTCACTTTCCCCGAGCCGGGCTCCACTGGCCAGCTCCTCGGCACAGCCTTTTAAGCGGACTTGTGAGGCATGTGGTTTATGGGAAATCACCTTGGACAGGCGCCAGACGCACACACACGCACACACACACACACACACACACACATACACACACGCGCGCGCGCGCGCGCGCGCGCACTGACAGACACACAAACTCCAGAGGCCCACTGAACCGCCTCCCCGCCCCCACCCCGAGGGCTGGTCTTCGCTTGTCTTCCAGTCGCCTTGTTTGCTGTGCTCAACGCCAAAGCCTTCGAGAAAGTAACTCGGGCTTCAGCGCTGCCCTCCCTCCAGCGCGCCGGCTTTGGACAGAGCCTCGCCTTTCCTTCCGCGCTCTTCAGGCGGATCCGGTGTTCTCTTTCTAATATTCCTTTCAAGGGACTTTCCCTCTAGGCCTGAAAATTCCCAAATCTGAGCAGGAAATGGCCTGAGAGCAGGGGCAAACACTGAAGACTGGGGCCTCCCCCGCTGCGCTTCCTGCAGCACCTTGTGGAACCCGAGTCAGCAGGTTTGTAGGCAGCCCTCTCCTTCTTATGCATCCCCCAAGCCGCCCGCCCAGCCTCTGTCTCCTGTTCTGGTGTCAGGGTAGAGGCAGGGAGGCTAACTACCTGACCAGAAGGGGATGAGTTGTGTCCTGTGACAGGGAGCTGGGAGGCTGTGCTGTGTGCTAGGAGATGCTCCCAGCACCTGATCTGCAGGTGATGTAAATGCTGGCTGGTACCCATGCTCCCTTCTGAGCCTCCAGACCTGAGGAGATTGGCACCTGGGCCCTAGATTTCCCTTGATGCTTTTGGAAATGCATTTACTGAGATGATTAATCATATTTTGTCTCTACATGAGAATGAATCTAAATGAGGCCTAATAGGAGAAGCCTATTAATCATAATGCCAAATTCAGGAGCTTTCTCTTTCTTCAATTCACTATGGTTCAATGTTTCAATCTCTCTGTGACTCCACCCAACCCCAGCCCCTGGGAAATACATGATATACAGCCAGGTCTGGAAGGGGCATCTCTTGTCACTTGCTCCATCCCCAAGAAGTAATTTTACACCTGCATGCTCTTGTTCATACTGGTTCCTCTGCTTAGAATTATCCTTTCCCCACTTGTCCTTAAGGCAAACATCTCACCCTTCAAGGCTGAAATCACACCACATCCTTCACCAGCAAAGCCTTCTTTGACTCCTCAGGCAGATCAACGGTTCCTTTTCCTGTGGTCTCACTGAATTTGGCTCCTTTCTCTGTGGTCTCCCTAAGTTGTTTGTCTTTCATTCATTCATTCTCCACATTATTCTAAAAAGTATTTCAGGTGGTGCTGATAGTTATATTCTGGATCATCAGACTGAAACTTCACCCCCACCCTGGACTGAGAGTTCCTCCAAGCTGGTCCCATGTTTACCTCCAAATCGAAAGTGCCCAGCACATAATAGGTACCCAGTTGATAGTGATCGAATGAGGCCATTAGAGAATAATTCATTCATTTAACAAATGTGCACCATGTGGCTACTATGTGCCAGGCACTGAGCTAGGCCTGGGAATGTGATGATGGACATGTCGGCATATCCCTGCTTTCATGGGTTTGGGAGTAGTCAGAGCTTAAAGGGTGTGGGGCAGGCCTGGATGTTCAGAAACTTGAGGAAGGAAGGCCAGAGACAGAGTCCAGCCAGAGGAAGGAGTCTGAGGGCTTACTTCCCCTGGGCATTGTCAAGTGGTCCCAGTACAAAATGATTTAAGATAACATGTTGACACCACTTGTTCTGAGGACTGATAAGAGGTTAGAGGAAGTGATGTGAGGAGATAAACCTCTTGACTTGTTGAACTGGGAATAAAATTTTACCTGCTGCCTCCTTCACCTGACCCAACGCTGTGGGCTCACTGAAGCCAGTGTTAGGACATAGCTCTGCCTCTGGAAGTCAGCCTTCCTCTGTCAGCACAAGCCTTGGGTTCTTGTTTCCCCTAATGGAAATTCTTCACACCCCCAGATCTGAACCCTGATTCCACCACTTACAAGCTATCTGACCTTGCAACTCTGCCCAGTCATTTGTTGTATGACTCGGGACAAACCTCTCTCAGTGTCTTCATCTATAAAATGGAGACGTATATATTTCTCACCAAAGTGTTGAGGATTTCGTAGGATGATGCCTGTGAAGTGTTTAGCCCAGGACCTGAAGGTAGTAAGTGCTATTGGTATTAGCGTTAACATTAGTATTGGTATTATCTGTCCACTCACATGCGTCTTAAGCAATGACACCACAGTAGTGCAGTAAACTTGCAAGTCCCAACGCCAGACTTTAGTCCCAGCTCTGCCATTCATTTTCTGTGTGACTTTAGACAAAGCCTTTATTCCTTTTGAGCCCCTCTTTCTTCATTTGACAATGGCGACGATAAGCCCTTTCCCCAAGGAGTGGATGAGAGGTCAAATGGGTGACAAATGGGGGTCTCTAGGGCAATGAACAGCACAGAATAAGTGCTTGGTTATGAAAGAACACTTTGGAATTGTAAGCTATGGGTTGCTGGGAGGCTCTGCCTGTGTGGAGCTGCAGAGGGATGAGCAAGGTCCTGGGTAGCCGTGACTCCACAGTGGGACTTGCAGCTGTCTCGTCTCTGTTACCTTAAAAGGAGAGGTTGTGAATCTGCTTGACCTCAGGCAAGCTTTACCACCAGACATGGAGAAATTGAGGCTGGAAGAACTTACGGTGTACCTGGTAGGGCTCCCCTGGACAGCATCTCCTGGGCTCTCTCCTGCACTGGGCGGATACTCCAGCCCCTGCCTGTCTGGCTGGGAGACCTTGGGCAGGCAAGTTCTGGCTGAATCTCAGGGCCAAGCCAGCAGGATGGTTTCCATCTGCCCGTGGCTCCTTAGTTGTTTACACCCGTGCAAGCCTGTGTGTGCCCATTGGTGGTCACAGAGTGTTGGAACCACAGACCTGACCTAGAAGCTGTTCCACCCATATTGCCTCAAATGAGCAAACAGAGTCTCAGACAGGCGAAGCCACCTCCTCCAAAGTCACACATGATTGGTGCAGTGTGGGGTGGGGGCCTCAGGACCGAGGCCTGGACTGACCCAACTCTGGATCCCCTGTGTTCTCCCTGGTCAGAGTAGCTGCTGTTCTCCCTGCTGACTATTGGTGGAGTCATGTCCGGAGCAGGGTCCTGGGGGAGGCATAGAGGAATTTGGAACAATCCAAGATTTGGGGTTTCAATGATTTCCTAATGTAGCATCATCAAGAAGGCGGTGCTCAGCTGACCCTGGAGGAGGGCAGAAGGGAGTACCAGAGGGACCCTGCTTGTCGGGGGAATGAAGCAAGTGTGGGAGGAGAGAGACAGAAGAGAGAGAAATGGAGACGATGGCAGGAAGTGGGAGGAAATCTTCATTTGCTAGTTGTCAAAATGTCATTTCTTTGAAATTATTTGATAGGCAGTTTCCCCTTGAGATCTTTTCTAGGGAGTTGACTTCTATCACAAAGAACTCCTTTCTTTCTCTTTCATTTTCTTCCTCCCTTCCTTCCTTCCTTCCTTCTTTCCTTCCTTCCTTCCTTTCTTTCTTTCTTTCTTTCTTTTTCTTTCTCTCCCCCGCTCTCTTTCTCTCTTTTTTCCTCCCCCTCTTTCTTTCTTTCCCCGTTTCTTTCATTCCCCCTTCATTCCTTTCATTTTCCTTCCCTCCTTTCTCCCGCCTCCTCTTCCTCCTTCGTTTTCTTCTCTCTCTCTTTCTTCCTTCCACTAAAGTGGCCCAGGGCTCTTTAAGAAGTGGACTGGGGGTGGATAGCGTAGCCTTGGAAGCTTGGGGCTGCAGAGGAAATGCCGCTTTCCTGTCCTTGTGCTCCTGGCAAGGTGCTGCAGAGATGGCCAGAGTGTGCTAAGGCGCCCCAACTAACCCATCTCCTGTGCTGCCCCACCCAGGTCTATTACTCTGTGGGCTGCCCTTCTAGTCATGCCTTCTCCCTTTTTATAGGGCAGTGGTGGGCGGGGTGGGGGGGCAGCAATGGCCATAATGGAGGGACCCTTGGACTGGGTTTCTCATCAATTAAATGGGAATGGTTGGGACTTCCCTGGTGGCTCACTGGTTAAGAATCCGCCTGCCAATGCAGGGGAAAAAGAGATCGATCCCTGGTCCAGGAAGATCCCACATGCCGTGGAGCAACTAAGCCCGTGCACCACAACTACTGAGACTGCGCTCTAGAGCCTCTGAGCCACAACAAGAGAGGCTGCCTCAATGAGTAACCCATGCATTGCAACGAAGAGCAGCCTCCGCTCACCGCAACTAGAGAAAGCCCACACCCAGCAATGAACATCCAACGCAGCCAAAAATAAATTTAAATAAATAATAAAGGGGAATGGTAGCTCCCAGCCAGTTGGCTTCCCAGGGCTACTGTGAAGACCTTGTATTTGGTAAACTACCAAGAACCAGTATTTGATACTTTGGAAAATGACTGATAGAATTGTTGAGACCAGATCTTCCCCTTGGAGGACAGCCAGCTATACCCCTTGTCCCTGCAGGTACAAAGACACTTGTGCTGGCTTCAGCGCCATGCCACCAGGAGTCTTGCCTCTGAAGGGCAGGCATTCTGGGAGGCTGTCTGTATCAGGGCCCCAGCTCTTTCTTCTGCCCTGAGCTTCCTGCCAACACCAGGAGGCTGGGCACCATCTTCTAGACCTGGACAGGCTCTCTCAGGTGCTCATGAAGTCCTCAGATCAGTCTAACCTGGAAGTGAAGAAAAAATTTATTTGCATGAGTTTTGGCTTCCCGAGTACCCTCCCTACCTGCTAGAGTTATAACTCCTTAGCTGAGGACCCTGCTAGAATGAAAGTTTGTCCTAACCGTCATTGGAAAAAAAGAATCACGAGGAGGATCATGTGTCTGCTGGTTTCCAAGCAACAGACAAGCGTACTTCCTATCTTTGGCCCTGCGTGACTTCAGAGCAAATGAGGCAGAGAATTACCTGGAAACAAGAAGTGAAAATCTATGTCATCTGTAATCATGTGTTA